CAGCGCCCAGCGCAGCAGCGGCAGCAGCAGCACCAGCAGCAGCAGCACCAGCAGCAGACCACCGGAAGCCCGGCTAGCTTTCGTTCACCCCCTCTGGCCTCAAGTTTGTCGGGTAAGCTAAGCGTGGTAGATTTGATAATTCACCTACATGAAACCACTCAAACGGTCTCACAGTCAATCCACTTTATTTGTTCCGGTGTGCTTCTGTACCCCTAAAGACACCTCCGACCTCGGACCACTCAGCTCCGCTGCGAGGTCCAGACCGGCGGGTGTGGCATGTAAGGCCGCAAGGTGCCAGAAAGCTGTCAGGAACTCAAGCAGCTGCGAGTGACGACGGAACACGTCTCGGCGAGTCGACAGAGTTCAACAGAGACGGTCTGTTGGATGACACGTGAGACATGAACACGTCTTTGAAAGGAGACATGAACACGTCTTAGATAATCATGATATATTTGTAATCTCATGTAAACAGAAACGGTCTGTGAGTCTTTGAAAGGCGTTTGTGAGCCTGCGGGGGTTGAACGATTGAAGGGAGTGCTCCATGCGAGTTCTGGTATGAGTCATGAGGGTTCTTGGGGATCAGTTTGGGCATGTACTGTAGTATTGGATTGTGTGGGAACGGAGCGGTGTTCATACATATTCATGCCATGTTTGGGCACCCTTGCCGCCTTTGGCAGGCGCGGCCTGTGGCTGGAGCTGGTTTTGGTGCTCTTTGATATGATGGTGGGCGCCTTTCCAATACTTGTGTGTAGCACAGGCTTGGAATGTCCGTTGCCTATGAATGTGAATGGTCTTCAATTCATAGAACTACAGTAGATTGGGCGCTTTCTGAATTTCCCGGAGTGCAAAGATGGTTTTAACGTTTTTACCTGTGCCACATTGTGCCACATGATCCCACCCAGTCCCAGTGCAAGGAGTGCATCCCATCAGATTTGGACCTCTTTTTCCAGTGCCAGGCTGGACTCTCGCAGTTGACGGGCCTCATTAGAACTAAGAACCAACATGACTCGACAGAAGACACTGTGCACGCATGGCTGCATGTGTGTGTGTGCCCCTTGAAGTCACAGGGATCCTTTTGGATTGTGCCTTGTTTTTCCCGAATGCGTAGCGAAGGGTTCCCGTTTATAGTTGGGGGTCTGGGGGTTGGAGCTGTGTTCGCGTGGCGTGCGTCGTGTCGTCGTCTGTCGTCGTCTCTCGTCGTTTGTCGTCGTCTGTCGTCGTCTGTCGTCGTTTGTCGTCGTCTGTCGTCGTCGTCGCGTCTCAAATTTGCTGCCATTGGGGGAAGCTTTTGCAAGTGACTTTGCATGGACGCGTCACGTGTCAGTTTGCGTCGCTATTCCATTTTGATTTGCATGACACCGACATGTCGCGCAAGAAACGTGATACGTTTCGCTGCACAGGTGCAGCGTTTTGTGAGATCCGCAGATTGCTGCGCAGTTCCATTGGGATTAGCGTTTGGAGAGTCGTGTTTTTGGGGTGTTGGATGTGGCCGTGCCATTGGGATTTGCGTTTCAGGGTGTGGCACCGAAGCTCGGTTTTCGTGACAAGTCTCAGCTGAAGTGGCGATTTTGGTGGATGGGAGTGTGCTCAGAACGGGTCGAAATCATTCCAAACGTGTGGTGTGGTGCAAATTTTGTTGAAGCTCACATGAGATGATATTGTCACTTTTCGTGGCAGGCGCAGGACTTTGTGCGGGTTTTGAGGCGTGGAAGTGCGATTCTCGTGGCAGGCACAGGGAGTCGTGAGGTTGCGAGGTGTGACGGAGGTGACATTTCGTGGCAGGCGCAGTACTCTGTGCGCGTTACACGTGTGGACGCGGAAAGATTCGTGGCAGGTGCAGGGAATCGTGAGGTTGTGAGTCGTGGTAGAGGTGAATGTCGCTGTCACATTGGGATTGGCGTGTGAGCGGATGTTGTTTGGAGGGGCTGGAATCGCGAAACTGCTTGGCAGGGCTGCGTGATGTGTGTGCTCCGATGGGTGTTTCCGCTTGACTTTTGGAGGAAGTCTCGTACGAAACGCTCGTTTTGCAGACTTTGACGTGTGAGTTTTTGAGGAAGTCTGGTACGAAACGCTCGTTTTGGAGACTTGACTGCCAACCCTCTGCGGAGATCGTGCGTGTCGAGTGTGCGAAATGCAGGCGAGAGTGCGATTTGTCCCATGCGCGCGCAACCCTCTGCGGAGATCGTGCGTGTCGAGTGCGCGAAATGCAGGCGAGAGTGCGATTTGTCCCACGCGCGCGCAACCCTCTGCGGAGATCGTGCGTGTCGAGTGCGCGAAATGCAGGCGAGAGTGCGATTTGTCCGGTGCCCGCGCAACCCTCTGCGGAGATCGTGCGCGTCGAGCGCGCAAAATGCAGGCGAGAGTGCGATTTGTCCGGAGCCTGCGCAACACTCTGCGGAGATCGTGCGTGTCGAGCGCGCGACATGCAGGCGAGCACTGGCGACTTTGTAGTGGAACTTTAGTCCGCGGAGTATCTGAGGAGCTGGAAGATGAGAACTGGTGACTTTGTAGTACAACTTTAGTATGCGGAGTATCTGGGGAGCTGGAAGAGTGTCCCACAAGAGTGTCCCACAAGAGTGTCCCGCAACCGTGTCGCTCAAGAGTGTCTCACAAGAGTGTCCCTTAAGAGTGTCCGACAAGAGTATCCCACAAGAGTGTCCTATAAGAGTGTCCCACGAGAGTGTCCCACAAGAGTGTCCCACAAGAGTGTCCCACAAGAGTGTCCTACAAGAGTGTCCTACAAGAGTGTCCCACAAGAGTGTCCCACAAGAGTGTCCTACAAGAGTGTCCCTTAAGAGTGTCCTACAAGAGTGTCGTGTAAGAGTGTCCCACAAGAGTGTCCTGCAAGTGACCCACAAGAGTGTCCTACAAGAGTGTCTCACAAGAGTGTCCCACAAGAGTGTCCTACAAGAGTGTCCCACAAGACTGTCCCACAAGAGTGTCCCGCAACAGTGTCGCTCAAGAGTGTCCTACAAGAGTGTCCCTTAAGAGTGTCCTACAAGAGTGTCCTATAAGAGTGTCCCACAAGAGTGTCTCACAAGAGTGTCCCACAAGAGTGTCCTACAAGAGT